ATATAAAATGGACATATCTAAAAAATTATGCAAAAATGTTTAAAAACAGCAAAGTTATAATTATTTTTCTAAAAATTTATCGAACATTTGTATGGCAGCTATATGATATAGTCCTCCGATCCGGCCCGTTCCGACATATATAGCAGTGAGAGTATATAGAAGACTATATGCAAAGTTTCATTCAGATAGCTTTAAAACTGAGGGACTAGTTTGCGTAGAAACAGACAGACGGACAGACGGACAGACGGACAGACGGACAGACAGACAGACGGACAGACGGACATGGCTAGATCGACTCGGCTGTTGATGCTGATCACGAATTTATATACTTTATAGGGTCGGAAACGTCTCCTTCACTGCGTTGCAAACTTCTGACTGAAATTATAATACCCTGCAAGGGTATAAAAAACGGAAACCGTTAAAGTCAAAGAAATAGCAACAAAAACAACAACATTAAAATTTAATTTTCGAGTCGCTTTCAAATTTTTGTACACTGCAAATAATTTAGTGCTTCTGCATCATATAAATAATATTTTGCTTATTGTTTTACTTTTTGAAGGAAAAAAGGTAAATAAAAGTACAAACGTAAATAAATATGACAAAAAATATATATAATCATTTAATAAGAAATATTAATTAATAAAATTTTGCTTAAAAATGTTACTGCTGAGTTTATAATGACTACTTTCTCAACTGCTCCGAACAGTATATAAACACTTGTTATAACTGAAAGTTGCTACTATATTTTCTGTATTATATTATATTATTAAAATAATATATTTTCTCTCAGTGCTCCTTGTTGCTGGTATAGATGTTGCTGCTGTTGATGAGGCGTGCTCCGTTGTTTACCCCACTTGAAAGCGACTGAAGATCAATGGATTGTATGACCAAGACCAAGACCAAGACCAAAGTTGCTGGTGTTGGTCTACCACTTTCGTTGTTACTGTTGTTGATTTTTAGCCGTTTTTTATTTTTGTTTTTGAGCCGCTAGAGCTTTGAGCGATTTTTCATTGGAATAGAAAGTGAATTGAATTTGTTTTCGCTGGCGCTCTGTTCGCCCGTTTCATTGCTCTTCATTTGAGGTGCCACTGTTGGTTGTTTACACTGAAAACAACGGCCGGCAGGCGGGGCAGGCAGATGCTCGCTCGGAGACAATCTTCTGGAAATTGGACCATGTCATTGACCTTTTCGTTTTCGAGTTGCCCCAAAAAAATAGCAGTGAGAGTGCTGTTGTTGGTTGTTTATCTTTTCGGATTCAGTTGTTGTTTCGCTCCAAGGGAAAAGCATCAGTGAAAGAGAAGCTTTTTACGATGAATGATTTGTCGGCTTTACTCGAATGCAATTATGGTTTGTTGGTGAATTAAGGAAATAGTGGGGAAAATGCAGGGAAATTGGCTAGTAAATATTACAGGGTTGTAATAGAAAACCAAAAGATATCATTTTGAGCTTATAAAAGGCAGGAAATGCATTCGATTATATTTATTTTTTATTGCGTTTTTAAGTTAAATTTACTATTAATAATTTTGATCATCATATCTAAGTTATGTGTCATATATGACTCATATTATTCAAAATATATAACATAATTATACTTGTTTTCCCTTTTAATTTAATACTAATTTGAAAATATATTATAAATGTTAATAAAATATGAATACAATATAATGCAGTCTACGTTGCTGACTTCTTATATTATATTATTAACCACTCTGATAACTACTCAAATGGCTAAAGCCTCATAATTTACACTTTCCTTTATCTTTACCTTAAAAAAACATCTACAAATTCTGTGGCAATAAAATATTTTCCACAATAATTTCTGCATTATATATTCGAGATATCTGGAGAGCAGTCTGTGGCCTATGTCCCAGATTAAATTGACATCCACTGTCGCTTTCTATTTGTGGTGTCTTCTAGCGTTTTCCAAATGCGGAACCATCGGAGCCATCGAGCGAGCTGCAGTCGGCCGACTCGATTTCTTTTACCGAAATGTGTAAATTAAACACAGGGCAGCGACAACGACGGCTGTGAGTTTATTCACCTTTCGCCTAATTATCAAAATACATAAGCGAAGTGTACCAAAAAGATATACATATGTGATGATCAGCGGGGGGACAGAAGACGCGTGCAAAAGCTCATGACGAAGACTCTGCTCTGACTTCGGCGACGAAGAAGGCGACTTGACTTCAATGAAATCAATTTTACGATAATAATTTTGAACGGCGGACCCTGTGAATGTGAAGCCCTGCCGATTCATACTATATACTATATTGAATCAGAGACGACCGACCGACCGACCGACCGGCCCATGTACCGTTGGAAATTTCTTGCTTTTTCTTTTCTCAGCTCCCCCGACCGGGTGAGTGTGAGAGTGGCGAACGGGTACAGGGAATATGGGTATGGGTTTTGTTTCGTGTGTATTTTTCTTGCTTTTTTTCGTTGTTATTGTCTTGCACGAATGTAGGTCAAGTTATACTGCCGCCGAGTGTGTGTGTGTGAGTATCGGTGAGTGTGGGACGAAGTTGCGTACCACCAAGGGGTGAGGAGGAAGTGGGGGTCGGTGGGGCCTGTCATCCCGTCGCTCTCCGAATGACTGACTAAAAGTCAGACGAAGAGCCGGAGTTTTCTAGTAGCTTCATCCCCAGGCCAACTTTCACTTAGAAAGTTCTGCTCGCGGACTCGGATTCGGATTGGGATTTTGGCTCTTATGGGCTCTTATTTGAATACCCTTATAACCCATAAAATATAGCACTTGTTCCCGGAATTCACACTTCACCTGGACGAAAGTCTGGAGAGAATCCCAAATAAAAATGTATTGATATGTTGGTAGAAAGATGTCTACTTTTCAGATTTGAATTTATTATTATAAGTATAAAGATTGAATTTTAGTTTGATTTTAAAGATTATAGTGGTGAAATGTTATAAAAATGCAGCATATAGATTACATTATTTAAAAAAGGTAACAAATAGTTCAAGATTAATTAAACTTTAATTGCTGAATTCCTTAACATATTAAACAACACTTAAATCTTAAGATATATACGATATAATATGCTAATAATTGAACCTAGTTTTACTTTTATTTAAAAATATTCTAGGTTACTTTTAATGTTTTATAAAATGGTATAGGCCTAGTAGTTCCTACAACTTTCCTAACTAAATCTATTTATGCTTTAATTTGAATGCCTAAAATATGAAATCCTCATGATACTATTATCTAAAGACCTAATTAGTCAGTTGTTTAATGAATTATTTTTTAATATTTTCGACTTAAGCGATTAAATATAAAAATAAATATAATATAAAGAGATATTCATCGGCAAGGGTATTCAAAAAGCCTTGAACAACTTTCTTTCCCCTTTAGGCTCCACTGAGTTGTGTGTTTTTTCGGGGCGTTACGAGTTGGCCTGGCCTGGCTGTGCTCTGTCTGAGGCTAAAAAGACCTTATGAATGAACACGGGCATCAGGCAGCCGCACACATCCCCGTTAACTGGGTCAGCGCGTGTGTGGGGGGGCCTGGGAAGATCTGTGTGTGCACCTGGATTGCACCTGATCGGAACATATAGGAACAGATTGAAACGGAACTGATCGCTCAATTGCATTTTTTCAATGCGATGATCGTCCAGCGTGTGTGTGTGTGTGGGAAAGCTTTCCGTTAGGCGACGTCATCCGCAGCAACCTTGGCGATCAGCTGTCGCGCTGCTGTTGCTGCTGTTGCCGCGAGTGGATTTCCCTGAACTTCATACTGAAAAGCTAATGGGCGCGTATGTACATATATCTATTAATAGCGCATGCCGCTCGCTGCTCGCAGTACTCTCTGTTACGCCCGCTCTTCGGAGCCGGAAAAACTGGCTGCGGCCAGTGGAGAGTCAAAAGCTTAGCTCTCCGCTCTCTTAAGTTTTCCGCACTCTCAGAATACAACAAATGCAGCGCAAGTTCTCAGCTATTGAGCTGTTATTTTTGTTGCTGTGGCTGTGTGCTATTATTGACCTAATCACTTGTGGAGCACAAACGAACATTGAACTTTTACTTCCGCATGAGAGGAGCGTTGCAAGCGGAATTTGCTCTTTAGAACTCTTTTTTTCTTTACGTTTTTTTTTTGGTGTACTTCCAATTTTCCAATATTTTTATTGATCATTTCCAGGCCGGCGGCAGCGGCGACCGCCCAGTGACATTAATTAATGCCCGCAGATTCATCAAGTATGCGCCGGCCGTTCGGAAAATCATATTTCACGCTTCCGCAGCTCTCCCCCCGGCAGCAATTTGTCTGCGCCGGGATCTGCCGAGATCCCGAGATCCCCCAGAGATGTCTCTGTGTGTGTGTGTGTGTGTGTGCCAGTGTGTGTATCTGGAAAATCTTGTAATTTAATGCGACAATTTTGTGCTATGGTCGCGCATCCAACGAGTTGTTCCCATGGAAGTGGCCGTGGAAGTGGTAAGGAAAAATGCACTCGAAAGTTGTAAGTTTTCAGTTTTAAATATGGTTTTTCTTTAATATTAATATGTATGTGTAATGTGTAATGGGGATGGATGTTCGCATATAAATACTCTTAATGCTCTTAGTGTCTAAACAAAAATTTATCGCTCTGCTCGCCGTTTTCTCTGGCAAAATGTTCAACAATTGGTCAAAAAAGAGAAAATAAATAGGATTACAATTGAAACAAAAAGTGAATGTTTTGCTCGGGGAAATACAAATATGACACTAAACGTAATACTCTTTGCATAAACAATTACAAGTACATAATATATATATAACATATATGGTGTGTTTGTGTGCGATACAATAGGATATATGTATGTAGGGTATATGCAAGTGAACAGTATTTAATTTAAATAATAAGATAATAAATAATTAATATATAATAGGCATATGGTAGGCTGCTCTACACACAAAAAAAACTACATAAATACAGAAGTTCGCATCGGATGGGGCCCGAGTATCCTCAGCTTTCTCCTTCGCCGGCAGCTGGAAGTCTCCTCGCGGCCACGAACGCGCAGCCAGCGCGCTCCCCCAATCATGCCCAGAAGTTTTTGGAGTTTTTTTTTTGGAGTTAAGGCAAAGGGCGTTGCAATGGGGCTCTCCACGCTCCTCTCCAGTACTAGTACTGCCCGGTCGGATCCAGGCAATCCCGCTGTCGTCGCTTTTGGCGTGTGCTCTGCGAGTCGCGGGGTCGCCTATAGGTTCCAGTGGGATCCAGCATTTTGTTTGATTTGTTTTCTTTGTTTTTTTTCCAAAGGGGGTTTCCCAGTTATTCAAAGTATTATTGTGACTCTTGGAATCGAATCTCAAGCTGGGCGGCTTAGTAGGTGCCAGTGGGATCCAAATCAAGCGACATGTTGAGACGGTTTTTGTGATTGTTTTGCTGTGTGTTTGGTGGAGTGATCTCTGATCTCTGAAGATGTCTGATCTTCCTTCCTTGCTTCAGTACTGACCCGTGGGATCCAGATAGGCGGCCATATTTTCAGTGTTTTATATATAAATATTCAGTTTTATTTTTATTCTTGGAGCTTCCTGTTTTAGCTCTGTCTAGTACTGGCCAGTGGGATCCAAGTAGGCTGCCATTTCGAAGACCAAAAAAATACTTGTATGACAATACAGCGGGTTGACGACGATTCTCTCCTTTTGTTTCAGTTCGAATCAACTTTAGTATTGAACTTTATACTGGTTCTCCGGCGCTGTTGTTGTAAGTTCTTTTATTATCACCACCAAGTTGTTGGGTTTTTTTTTGGTTGAGAGATTATACAGTCACGTTTGTGCTTTTGTGTGTGTTTATTTATTAGGTTTATTTTTAAAGTCACTGACACTTAATGTTCAATCGAGGGATTTTGTGTGTTTGAGTTTTGGAACCGCACCGTGGAAATCGTTACGTGAATATCGTTACTGCGGACTCTGCGAAACCTCAGGTTTGTTACTCGCTTCAACTGACTGCTGTGGCTGTCTATATAGCTGGAACGTTGTCGATCTTATGATTTGATTTTCGTAAAGTCGTAAGCTTAAATGCCTGACGCCCGGCCGCGAAGCCGGCGCCGGCAGCGGCGTTGGCGTCGACCGAGCTCCGAGAGCCAGAGCGAGGAAAGAGCACGACAGGCGGCAGGTGCGTTACTCTTTCCAGCCGATCACACTCTCTTAGCTGAGCGAGAGCGAGTGGGAGAGATCGTGTTTTCATTCATGTGGTTACCTGGGGGGCCAGGTAGAGAGAGAGACAGAGGGAGAGAGTGTGCTCACTGATCTTCTGGCCTCTCTCCCTGTCACTCTTTCTCTCCGGCTCTTTGCAGAGGTACACCCACCTGGGTTTCATTCACGAAACAGCTGTTCCGACTCGAACTGCGACACGATCGAGTGCCCTCGTTATGCTCTTGCCCGTGTGTGTGTGTTCCCTATGAGTATACGACTCTTGTTCTTAGGTGTGTGTGTGTGTGTGTGAGCGTCGCAGGCTCTCCAGGTAAACGCTATCCTTGCTGCGCCGCTATTGGTGCTCCTTCTCCTCCTCCTTCACCAGCGAGCGAAGACTCCCGGGAAGAAGACTCCACCTTCTTTTTTTTGCGAGACCCAGCAGATAATTAAGATCCATTCCTCCTGGCTTGGATTTGATTAGTCCTGGGCCAAGTACACTGAGGGAAATTAATAGGGATTTCTGGTTGGATTTTATATCCGTTAAATTAAGGTTTTATTTTCTACGTAATCATAAAGATAGAGAGAAAGATCTGATTTAAAATAAATATGATAGGTACTTCTTATGGTAGCTTATAGATATTGTATCTTATGGGATCTTTATATTTAACTCTCAGTTAACTATGATAATCATTATATATAATAAAGGGACTCATAATTTTCATATCAAATTTAATAACTAGAAATATCCTTGATCAGCATCCCCCGGGTATAATCTGTTTAGTCATATTCTCTTTTCAATTAATTTGTTGTTAATCTTTGCTTTGAATAGTTGCCTGGACCATCAACTAGTACATACATTTTATTTATAAATATAAATATAAAATCAAAATCAGTTTTATTATATCAACCTGACCCTTTTGCCAAAGTCTTTACATACTTTAAGCGCTTGGTCCTAAAGATCTAAAGGATCAATATGAACAGATGTAAGCCCCTAAGATATAACTGCATGAACTTGTCTTTTCAGATATTAATGTCCAGTCAACAGAATTCTTTAGGCAATTACTAATCCCCTTTCTTATCTCTTCAGACCCTTTTTTCAGACACCTTCCGTTTTCCAAGTGCAATCGTGCAAATAAAGATATTAGCCAAAGGATCTCAACTGTCGCCAGTGGTCAAACAGAGACATTGGGTATACTCTGCCAAAATGCTAATATCCTTATGTGGCATAAGTCCCAAATTAATGGTCTTTGAGCCATCGGCGCGACGGCCACTGCCCACTTTACGTGACATTTGTGGTAGCTAAGCCGGGCCAGCTCAAAGGGCTTAAGCCGCAACTGCCGACTCATAAAAAGGATAAACGCTCAAGATGAGTCAGCAGGCCGGCCCACCGTAACGACGGGTGCTTCCGCGAAATGCGACACCGGAGGCAGGTCCACTCACAAAGGCACAAAGAACCCAAAAAATATATGAAAGAAAAGGAACTGCAGAAAATGCACAGAAGTGTTGCGGAATTAGTCGATTTTCGCATCTTTTTAACCCAAAAAATCAGCCTGTTTCCAAGTCAGCTGTTGAGGCCAACAGAAGGCGCAGGCAGAGGCAGATTACAAGATGTGTCATCTGTCGCACAATAGGAAATATAAATCCTTTCGTTTTATTACAGCGACGTAAAAAACTCAAAAATACGAAAGAGCGAGGAAGGAGGGAGTGCTGGAGGACTTCCGGCATGGAAATAATATTCGATTGAACGACGGCGGCTGCCTGGCACGAGCGGGGATGGCAACCCTTTTGGCACGGGTTATGTGACTGGAGTATGGGGATGGGACTCACCTTGAGATGATCCCATGTAAGATGATCGCCACAGCCTTTGGCACGGGCCTAGGTAAGGCAATGGGCAATGAAATCTTCAAGGACTTACGAAAACCTAAAACCTAGGCAGCGTTTTCTTTACCATTCAAGGAAGTTTTGGGTCTTTAAACTTACCATAAATATTTAATTACGGAAAACAGCCAAAGGCGTCCATTAACCTAATGTTTCCCAAGTCATTCCGCGGTTCCGTTAAGCTGTTTGATTTACCTGGCGTGGGATCCCCACGGAAATTTACCTTTTTGAGTGCTGCCCCGGATGCGCATCATCCTCGCTGCATTTTGGCGCTTCCGCTGTTGGGTTTTCACTTTCCAAACAGTTTTTCCTACTTTTTTATTAACGAATTCGTTATGCATCGTTTGGGTTTTCGTTTTCCTTTCCGTTTTGCACCTTTTGTTTTACTTTTTCTTTTCAAAGCGCCACGTGCCACATCCAACATTTGTTGGCACAACTGTCAGTCGGTGAGTTTTCCCCCTCGATTCGCTCGCCACTGATCAGTCACTTTCCCTGCCGCATTTGCTTTGTAATTCGATCGATTTGGGTCTATAATATTTTTTGGGGAGCAGCCAGGACGGCTGCTGCGGTTTACGCTTACTTATGCAATGTTTGCCGAGGGCCCAAACGCTAAGGAAAACCTTCAAACGGTCTTGGAAATTTTTAAAAATTTGGGTCAATGTTCCCCCCAAGTTGTTTATTTCGGTTTTTGCACATTTAACAGTATTTTTCCGCTGACTTTTCTTGCTCTTGGACTTGCCCATGCAATGCTGCAGTTTTTTTTTTATTTGTTTATTTTTTTTCATAATTTGCAATTGCAATGTCAGAAACTTGTTATTGTTTCTGCCACTGGCGTTGTTTGTTGCAGCCGCGTTGACAGTTTGAGCATTCGTGCTTTTCGGCTTCGACTGGCTTTTTGGCCAACGGCATTGCCGGCTGGCTTATGATAAATTGTGGCCAATCCACTTAAGTGGCTCCTATCGCCTGACACTTTTAATTAGCTGAGAGGCAACATCTATCTGTGAGTTGACCCGGATCTACGCAAGTTTCTACAAATTCCGATATTAAATGGTTTGTTTATCAGCTGAATCATTCTAGGCACCCATCTTTCTGCTCGCTTAGAACTAAGAGAACAAAATAGTATAACTAACACCTTGTAGATATGCCGCTATTTCGTCCGAGAATCCTGAAGGTGCAACGACTGTCCAAGATTGTTGTGATCCACGTGCTCGGTGGCTATACTGGCAAGCCAGTATAAATTACTTTGTGAACTTTTACTCCAGATTTGGTCAACGAATTAAATCAAGTAAACGTGACTGTGATGGAACTTTTCCTCGATTTCCACACAGAGCCACCGAATTGCCACCTCCAAGTGCGTGGGCCCAGCTCAGGTCCCAGTCCCCGCATTTCGCTTGTAATGACTGGCACATATGCTAAATATCTGGGGAATTGAATATGCTAAACCGATCCGGTCGGTTCATAACACAGACGCACTGACGCAGTGACGACAAATGCAAATGCCTCCACCGATACCGCCTCGCACACCTTTCGGCCAACGGCAGTTGCCGAAACTCAATGAAAGAACGAAACGAACGGGCCAGGATATTAGGTAAGTCACTGAGTCGAGGGGGTCGTTCTCCGTTAATGGCACCGATATGAGAGCCAGAGATCGGTTGTGGGTGGTGCATAAGGATCTGCATATGGATCTGCATATGTATGTGGATCGGTGATCATTACCCAGCGGTCAAACGGTCATTGGCCTGCTTGCGCATCATGCAGATACTCGTATCTTTCAGATACTCCTTGGATGCTACTCCGCTCCGCTCGCTGCTCGCTGGCACGTAAGCCGTCTTGGCCTGGCGTCTTTCACCATGTGTTCGCCAAGCTTACGCAAAATTATTTATGAAAACACAGAGCCCCGGCAAACGATAAAAACAACACAACATGCCTAGCCGAATCTACAGATACTCTTTAGGATTATTCTTAACTTATAAGTAATCTATAAGGATTTCTATTTGGGACAAAAGTCTCCGGCAGCTTGATATGTTTACATCCTGATTACTTGGCTTGCTTCTTAACTCCCTAAATATGCTCTTCTTACTCTGCCAAAGTGTGGAGACAAGAGCTGCCTTTGGTTCTGAGCTATCAATCAAAGAGGCAGTGGCTATGGAAATCACCGGACGGAACTCTGTAGAAATTCCGCATCTATTTGCATATGTGACAATTGTAATTGTACTTATCTAGCACTTGCAGTGCACGGATACTCGGGTGTATCTCAGTATCTCTGGCCTCTCGAGGCATCTGGAGAGTGCGTGCGCGTTTCTTATGCATGCCAACTATGAACCTTGCACAGTCGCTCTTATTACAGCTCTGTTATTGATTTCATAATTTATCAGCAGCGCCTGTCAATGGCCATTAGATCAATGCACCGGCATCGCCTGCGTAACAAAGGCGCCGCATTCTGCTGAATGGACAGGCGAAGGCGGTAGGATGCGGCCAGAAAAAAAAAAAATGACAAATCAATCTGTTGGCAATCAAAATTGACTTCCCTCTCCAAGCCATCGCCGCGATTTTCACCCAATAAGGAAGCAAAGCAGCCCCAGTACAGGCAACAACTGCGGCAACGTCGAAGAGAAACAACAACGACCACCAGAAACTGCAGTCGAGCAAAACTTAAAATGAGCAGCAGAGCAGTCAACTACACAGAGCGAAAATCATAAATAAGAACACTTGAATATCTTAGAGCAATTAGGAATAATCTGGCGACAGTAAATGGTGATTTCTTGAACTCCACTGTATCGTTTTCTGGGACAACCTGATGAATAGATCTTTATTTTGAAATAAATAAATAATACATTTCCAGAGAGTTACAGAATTAAATTTATATATAGTGTAAGAATAACATCAACAGCAATCATATAATAAATTAGCATTGCAAAAAAAGAAGAGTTATGGAATTTAAGTCTTTACTTGTTTACCAAAAACT